AGAGAGAGAGAGAGAGAGAGAGAGAGAGAGAGAGAGAGAGAGAGAGAGAGACCTAGCCAACTTTGTTCTTGTGTGTGTATCTGTAGCTCCTTCACCTCCCCAAATCATTCAGCCATGTGTGGGTTGGGCTCCACTGGCAACAAGATAACCTTTTGCCCCTCCCCCCACCATCATCACTTAACCCCTTCCATTGCTGCCATTTCCCCTTTAGAGGGAGCGAAGACGGCCTGAGCCCGTGAGATCAAGGGCGATGCTCCACTACACAACATTCCATATGTAGCTGGACACACACACTTGGACCGATCGAACATTTTGAATGAATGAGGACGCCTAACAGCTCCAGATACATATAGAATGTTCTGCAGTGGAGCGAGGCCCGAAGAGAGCGGATGAAGGGGTGTACGAACACGAGAATGAACGAACACTAGTACCTCCGCCGGTGCTGGGAAATTAGGGAATCGGGCTGTTCCCGAAGAGTTCGGAAGCAGGGCCCGACAATGGCTGCCATTGATAGATGTCATCGGGGTCTGTCGTTTTGTTTCAGCGTCCTAAGAGGTCGGAGGCCCACTCGAGGACCACTACTTCCCCACTCGGCAAAGGTACTCGCCGTTTAACAGGCACTGGAAATGCATTTCTCTTTCCACTCCCTCCTCCCCCCCCCCCCCAACCACCAATTTGATGTGCTGATCTTGAGAGACCGAGCAAATTAATGCTTAGAATGTTGATGCCAACCTCCATTAAAAAACTGGCTCCTCTTCACCGATCTTGGCCAACCCTTCTTCTTTAAAAAAAAAAAAAAAAAAAAAAAAAACAAGGCCTGTCGGGCCTTGCTTCTTTTATTCTGGGAAGCGTCAGTCCGGTTCCTGTCCAACGGCAGAAAAAGCTAAAACAACCGCCACAAACTCCACGCCTCCCCATGTTGCGACCTGGGGAGCATGACAGCATTGATTGCTTGTACAGATCACCAACGCATTCATGCTGCCATCAAAGGACCGCCTAGTGGTTGCGCAAAAGCGTTGAACCAGGACCATCATAAGCAGATAGTACATACAACGGTAACAGCACAATTAACCAGGACGCATTCTCACTTCACATACACTCTCAATAGCAAGGTAGGTTAGGTTGCAAGTGTGTAGTCACGTGGCATAAAACTGGCATAAAACTGCAGCAGCTGCGGAGGAGATACTCCGCAGCAGAACTTGAAACACGGGCTCGAGTCCCAAATCAGAACGAGTGCGAAAGTGCCGAGAGGTTGGAAAAAGTTCCAAAAAACGCAACGAAGAATATCATTTATTTTGCCCGACTGACTGTTCGACAGCAGTAACCCACCTCCTCGCCCTTTTTTTTTTTTTTTTTTTTTTTTTTTTAAGGAATCAGCCTTGCGTGTGGCTGATAGTGTGAACACAGCTCCGTGTGCTCTGGGAAATGCTTGACATAGGAAGGAATCCAGCAATACGGACCGCCAACGTCACCCTGCAGAAGGGGAAACACACGTCGCCGACAAAACAGAAAGAAGAAAAATCAGGCAATGCATAAACAAATAGAAAACAAAGAAGTAAATCACTGTGAAAAAATAAGCTCATGCATAAAGAGAAATCAAAACAAAAGGAAAAACAAAAACGAAAAACAAACAGACACACACAGAGAGGCACATAACTGTATGTGGGACAGAGACCGATGCCAAAGACCTCAGCAGCCCACAGACCCCTCACTACCTCGGAGCGGACACAGCTGGTGAATCTAAAAAGACGCACCAGCTGAGTGCCCATTTAAGTTACGCAAGCATAAAGAGGACGGATGCAGGCCGCGACTTAGGCTTAGAACTAACCCCAAACTAACCAACCAGACCGATGCATCTGCGTGGTAAATGCCTCCGTGCAGGGGTGGGTACCCATCCGGTTATTTAATGCGCGGAGGAGTACGTGCGAAAGGGCCAGAGGGCTATGGCCCGTAGAAAGGTTTTGGAGGATGCCGTGTGGGGGAGTGCGGGATCAAAAACTGCAACCGTGCAGGGGTGGGGTGGATATCAGGAGCGGTATGGTTCTACTTTTTTCAGCAGGGGATGGTTCGATTCCTTGCAGCGTCGATCCAAGTTGCTGGTCATCAAAGAACAATGTAAATTACAGTATGATAATACCGGAACCTGTGGGTGGGCGGATAGGGAGGGGGTGGAGGGTGGAGGGTGGAGGGTGGAGGGAGGGGATACCCTCCTGGTGAGGTGGTCGATCACTGTCCCCCCAACCCGCCCGTCCTTGACGGGCCTGGAAATTCCCCACTGGCTGCCAGCCATGTGGACTTTAACCAGTTGAAATTACTGTTCAGTCCTGGAGGATCTCAGGCACACACAACAGACGCCACAAATGGCACAACTGCGACTATCATAGATATGTGTGTGTGTGCGTGTGCTGCCATGTTCGCCATACACAACTCCACCAACACAAGGACTGCGCCAGACTGTTTCGTCGAACTTTCACTGACTCATCAGGAGGTCGAACCCTGACAGAAACTCTGCCCAGGATAAACATGACTCATGGATAAGGCGGACTCATCACGTCGCCCAGAGTTAGCAGCGACACCCTTGAGAGAGAGAGAAAAGTGGTAGACTTTACTCACACCAACCCTGCAATCCTAGCAGACTGTCGGTGCAGACCCCTGACAAGAACGGCAGTGAGTCTGAGAAACGAATCTGTCACACAGCCATAAAAGCCACTCTACACACCCACTCAGCCATGGATACCCAATGACATGACCGCTAGAACGGTCCCGACCCTAGCCACATTGATCCACCCCTGAACGGAGAGCTTAGCAAGCAAGGCCTTGTTGCGTGTGTATCCCCAAATTCTCTCTCTCTCTCTCTCATCCCAACCACAAATGCCAACAAACCACCCATAAAACAAAAAAGATATAGATAGACAACATCTGAGAAGACGGAAGGTTGCCCACGTTTGTGCGGCCAAGCCGCAAGTGCCAACACACCCGTCTGCCGCCAGAGCGGCACGCTTGCACAAATATATTATACTCTACAAAGGGGTCAAGCGCAAAAGGCAAAGCACTGGCACTAATACTACTCATCTCAAACCACTCACTCATGTGACCATCATCTCCATCACTCCATGGCTAGACATCCTCGGATCCTCCCTTTCATTTTGTCGTCTGGCCCCTGGAGTCTATAGACCCCAAGGCAAAAGTCAGATGCACCAAAGCGCAAACGGCTGCACCGATCAAGAGAGGCTGCACCAACCACGTCGCAAATGGTCCGAAAAAACTCAGAGAGTCTTCTGTGTCAGCCAACAAAGCCACCATAAATCATACCAAACTCCACAATATCTCCACACAACACCAGGAGCGCTTAAAACACCCTGGAAGCGCCCTGCCTGCATATGTGTGTGTGTGTGTGTGTGTGTGTGTGAGAGAGAGAGAGAGAGAGAGAGAGAGAGAGAGAGAGAGAGAGAGAGAGAGAGAGAGA